TCCTCCTCCTCCTCGTCTTCTCCTTCCTCCTCCTTCCTCCTCCTCCTCCTCTTCTCCTTCTCCTTCCTCCTTCCTCCTCTTCTTCTCCTTCCTCCTCCTTCCTCCTCCTCCTCCTCCTCCTCCTCTTCCTCCTTCCTCCTTCCTCCTCTTCTCCTTCTTCCTTCCTCCTCCTCCTCCTCTTCTCCTTCCTCCTCCTCCTTCCTCCTCTTCTTCCCCCTCCTCCTCCTCTTCTCCTTCCTCCTTCCTCCTTCCTCCTCTTCTCCTTCTTCTACCTCCTCCTCTTCTCCTTCCTCCTTCCTCCTCTTCTCCTTCTTCCTCCTTCCTTCTCCTTCCTCCTTCCTTTCTCCTCCTCCTCCTCTTCTCCTTCCTTCCTCCTTCCTCCTCCTCCTGCAGCCGTCGAGCTGTGACCGAGCACCAGCTGATGCATGACCGCGGCCGGAACATCCAGAGTCTGAAGAGGCTGATCTGGCTGTCCAGCGCCATCGAGGGTCTCCACACGGCTCAGACCCGCTCGGCGAATCTGGGACCCTCCAGGGTCCTGGACCTGGCCCTGAGTCCGGCTCTGGTGCCTGCGGCCGGCGGCCCAGAACCCGGCCGGGTCCGCAACCTCCTCAGAGACTTCTTTGACCCGTACCTGAGCCGGCTGGCCGACGGGGAGCCGTGAGGAGGATCTGGTCCCTCCGACAGAAGCGATGTGATGTGACCATGTTTGTCCAATAAACGTCCGTCTGATGGTGAATCAGCTCAAAGTCTGATCAGTTCAATCAGAAAACAGCTTCAATCAACTGAAGACATCCAGTTCAATCAACCAGCGACAGTCATTTAGCTCCAAAAACGTTCTGATAAAGTTCTGCTAATGTTTTCTTTTAGTTCCCAGAATGTTCTTCTTTGAGCTACGATAAGTAAAGATGTTCTATAAATGTTGAATCAATAGTTAGAGACCAAACCAGCAGGAAACGTTCCCACAACATCAGCTAACGGTAACATAAACGTTTCATCTTTTTTAATTTTTTTTTTAAAAACAAGAAAACATTTTAATCAAATGGTCAAAGAACGTTTTAGGAACATTTTCATTCTCGATGATGCCTCCATAGAGTTCTATAATGTTTAAGCATCAACATTCAGAGAACGTTACAGGAACACAGACGATGTTCTGTGACAACAAACACTAATTAGAACCACTTCATTCTGTCTCAATAATCAGCTTAATTAACACAAACAGTTCACATCAGTGTGTTTGAGTTGTTCAGCTTCTAAACAAACTTCATTCTGTCACAAAAACGAGCTTTTCTTTTACATCATAATATATTTTTTATTAATTTAAACACAAGTTTACGTTGATTACTCTTAAAATAACTTGAACTGATATTCCCACTTAATTAGTTTGTTAATTAGGAGTTCATATGAATAAAATATGACTCACTGAATGTATTTATTTATGTGTTTAAGTGCTTTGTGCTAAATTATTGTTTTTACAAAGAGAAGTTTTAAGTCGGCAAAACATTTTGAAAATGAATTTGCTCGGATTATATTTTCTTCATCAGGTTTTTGTGTTTTCTGTTTGTGTAGTAACTTTTGAAAAATGAATTAAATCAGCAATGAAATTGTTGATAATTAGCTTAATTTACTTTTAACTCTTTAACACTCAGTATTTATGTCTAAAACATGTAAAATGCTCCACAAATTACCCATAAACACATCCAACACAAGATAAAATCAACTTTATTGATCCGTCAGCAGGGACATGTACAGATGATTTACTCACAACTCTCATCTTTTACTAAATACAACTGAGGAAAGTGACGTTTGCGTTATTTTTATTATTTTTATTCCTGTTGAGCCCAAACACTATTCCTTATGAAAGCAGCGACACCCAGCGAAGTGCAAAACGAGCAGCCTGTTTGGGTTTAACGCTGCTTTTTGAGGCTTTACATCATCTTCGGCTGGATCTTGGTTCTTCACAGTGTCACAGCAGAAATAATCGCAAACGCTGACAATCCTTACACGCGTCTGAATGAGAATATTGAACCCAACGTGTCTTTTAAAGCCTCAGAGACGACGCTGGTGAATGAAGGAGGCGGGAAAAAAAAGGAGGGAAATGAGATGCAGGCCTCAGATCTTATTACCAACGTGTGTGTTGAATATTTCACATCATCGGCGTCGGGTTTTATGCAAATCTGTGCAGCTGCCGAGAAACGTCGTTATTATTTCCTGCACTTAAAGCAGAATTAAAGCAGGCGGAGTTCAACCTGCAGAGTCTGAACGACACTCAGGAATCCGTCTGATTAATTCTCAGGGTTTAAAGGATGCGTAACAGAGATTTCAATTTCTGCAGGTTTAATCTGAGAGCGTTTATCTTAAAGGTTGTGCTGCTAGTTTGTGCGTCAGCTTGGCATCGGTTTTGTTTAGCTAATCGTTTCGCTGAATCTGGAGGGATTTCAGGGTTTTAAGCTGCTGCTCGACCTCGTAATGGAGCTTCATTGTGAAGGAGAAGAGCTGCAGCCCCAAAGGAGCTGATGAGGACGGAGACCAGCATGAAGGGCGCGATGGTGTCGAGTCAATCCGATTAGAGCAGCATCGGTCCGGAGGAGGGTTTAAAATCAGCTTTGGTTTGTTTTCAAAGACATCAGGACAAGAAGGAATGGGATCAAACTTCTTGGACGCAGTTTGAAAAATATATGAAAGACTCATGTTTGTTCTGGAGGTTCATTCGATGATTTCAGCATCTCAAGTGGAACCAACGAATCCTGGACGTGTTGACTAATTATTCTGAGTTAGAAAACATCTCCTGCAACCCAGAACGTTTAGAAGTTTGGGTTTAATTCTGCTCCGTCACTTTTATTGACCAAGGCTAAAGAACCACAGAACTCTTTGGGCTTTGAGTTGAATCAACATGTCAGAACCAGAATCAGAAATACTAAAAAAAAAAAAGTCGCAGTTGCTCCCGTTCAAGTCAGAAAATAAACAATGCAAAATATAGAGAAACATAAATACAAAATATGAGCTAAAATAGAAACACAAGTACAAAGCAAGAGCAAGAAACAAGAAAACAAGTGGCCTATACGAGTTAAACTAGTCTTTTTAAAATTATTTTATTTATTCCTCTTTATATTTACACATTTACTTCCTTATTTTTAACCGATTCTTTTTTTTTATTATGGCACTCCTGTGATTCCATAAATATGTTTTCAGGTCAACAGATTCTGTTCTATGGTAACAAAAGAGGGACATTCTTAAACCAGCATCTACAAAATGTTTTCCAGATGTTATCGAGGCCTCAGATGATTTTTCTGTATGTTTTGAGGATGTTGTTGTGATAACAAATTCTAAAATCAATTCAATGTTCTCACAACGTTCAACAATGGTCTCCGATGACAATGAAAAGGAAGAACGTTCTTGGTGCAGCCTTCAGTTTTAAGCATATTAGGGCATAGTGGTCCAACAGTGGTCATCACGAAACATTTTTAAACATCTTTAGTTTTCCTACTTTTGACAACCTTCTAGGAACTAAAAACATTTCTACTTAAAAAAACATCATTTGAACTTTGTAGGTACTCGTCTTCTCTTTCACGTTATTCTCCTTCTATTATTATTATTATTATTATTATTATTATTATTATTATTGTTATTATTATTATTATTACTATTATT